AATGCGTTCTCGGTTGTATGCGGAGTCCCCAAGGAACCGACTTATAAGTTGAGAACTGACAACCGTGCGAGAGGCTCCAGTGTCTATGGTCAGTTTACATGGCGTTCCGTTGACTTCGCCCTTGATGATTAGGCTATTCCCATCATGAGTTTGTGAGATCGAAATCCTTGGAGCTCTTTTAACATCAGCCAGCACCCGCCAGTTTCCCTGCTGCTGCTGGGCGGTGCTATTATCCGCACTACCCTCTCGAGATCGATCACCTTCCCTTTCTACAGTTCGCTTAGGGCAGCTGGATCGAAGATGGCCCCTTTCTCCACAGCCGTAGCACCTAGGGCTGTAGCTTTTATTGCGGTCCTGAACTGTAACTGCTGCAACCTCCCTGACGCGGTGGGAACGATGATCCTGCCGCACGGCTTCCACCTCCAGTGCATGGGTCAAGGCGTCCTTAAGCGTCTCGTGGTGCCCGAGCCTCACAGCAGCTCTGACTTCAAGGTCGCGGATGCCGTCGATGAATGTCTGCACCAGGTTCCCTACAATAAGCGCAGGTACAGACTGGTACGCTTTTCGAACCAGCTTCTCCACCTCAATGGCCCACTGCTGCAGGTTTTCGTTACTGCGTTGCACGCGATCTTTGAGCTGCGCACGAAAGACGTGTTCCAGGTGAGCTTCGCCATATCTCGCCTCCAATGCCTCAAGGAGCTGCTCGTAAGTCACTTCCTTACCGAGAGCTTCCAGAACAGTTAATGCCTGGTCGCGCAGGCCTAGGGTGAGAGCAGTCATGGCCTGACTTTTATTCCAGCCGTTCGCTTTCATGACAGCCTCGAACTGGATTTTATAGGCCGACCAGGAAGAAGTCCCGTCGAACGGTGGCACTTTGAATCCACGTAGCGAAGGTGTTGTAGCTACCACGGGAGCTGTAACTCCATCCCCAATTTTGAGGTCGTTCAGCGTTTTCTTCACGTCAGCCATCACATTGTCAACCCGATTGTACACTTGGTCGATTCGGGTTTCAGCTTCCGACAGGCGGTTGTCATATTGAGCAACCTTATCCTTCACCTCACTTATTTCTTTCCCGAAGGTAGCGTGAAGGTCCTTCATGAGAAGTATCTGCTCTTCCTTATCGCGTTTGAGCTGCTCTTCCAACCGACGGCCCTGTTCCTCCTGTTAGCGGGCTTGTTCCTCCTGTCCGCGCTGCAGCTGCTCTTCCAACCGACAAGCCTGTTCCTCCTGTCGGCGGGCCTGTTCCTCCTGTCGGCGGGCCTGTTCCTCCTGTCGGCGAGCTTGTTCCTGCAACATCATCATCAGAGTACCTAAGTCAGGTGCTGCAGATGCAGGAGCTGCTGACGGGCCGGCCTCTGTGGTCGGCAACTGGCCTGCCGACGTCTGTGACGTTGCACCACCAAATCGTTTCTGGTCCGTCTCCTGTTGGCGTTGACTTCGGGTACGGATACCCTCGGTGTCGTCTTTAGGTAAAATCGGCATATTTGATCCCACTTCTGACACCAATTGTTACGAGCTTGGGGTTCGAGACAACTAAAAACTGCCGATTGAATTACCAAAATTGACACTTTAATTACACAACACTAATTACAATCTAAAATCACACTAATAATAAAACACAGTTCGCCGTTATATCGCTTCGAAGTATTCTCTTGTATCGCCAATTCAATACTGCCTCGGTCGTGGTCTATATCGGCCTTATATAGGGCCTCAGATAGTTTCCAGAATCTTCTACTGTAGCGACATCTAGAATGTTCGAGTACATATCGGTCCCGAAATTTCTGGAAGGATCTTGACTCTCCTAGTTCTGCTACTCGATACTAGAGGGCGCTAGTGTAACTAGTGTTGCCATGTACAAGACATTAATAGTGGCGCGCAATATTTTCATTTACTCGACACTAGAGGGCACTAGTGTAACTAGTGTTGCCATGTACAAGACATTAATAGTGGCGCGCAACAATATCATAGCTCACATACGAATAAAAACATACTAATGAAATAACGTGTAAAAGCAAACATTTACATGTTTTATTTTTGATTTCTTTTTAAATACAGATTCCTCACGCACACATGCACACACAATCGGCACATGTACGGTAAGCAGCCGCAAGCCCACTCGTGCTCGTGGCGTCCTATACAAAATTATTTTTTAATAATGCCGAACCCGCACTCCGTTCTCAAATTTACAAATAATGTAAACATTATTATCACGCCAGACGCTTTACACTTGACAACTTTACTTAATACTTGTAAAATTAATAATACTAAAAAGAAAAAAAAATGTATGCGAGAGTGCGTGTCAAAAAGTTGTGTATGGTTTCAGCTTCACTTTAAAATGTACGCAGCGCTCCGTCTTACTTCCTTGGGTGGTCTGAGCAAGTGTCAAGTTTAGTTAGGTGTAATATATAAAATATAGCGGAAAACTGAATTCGAATATCTCAATTCGAGCACATTATAAATTTAACTACGTCCTTAAATTTATATTAATGTTACCAAAACCTCTTCTATATCATTATTGGCTCATAAAAGTTTACAAATAGACATGGACCCCTCCCGGGCCTTAAGAATCGACGCTCCGAGAACTCTGCACTTTGTGAACACGTACAGTATCGCCCCCGTCACTGGATCAGATTTGATAGATCACAAATCCCCGCTAAAGAACACAGATTCCTTCCAAGGACGATTGGCGAAGTTATTGGAATTTAAAAAAAAATATAATAATATCTGCTTGGAATCCTATAATTAATTCAACTAAATCCCAAACCAAGCATACAACTGCAAGACTTCAAAATATTATAAGCTCATTCTGCGTGGATCGGACGGAAAATTAATAATTTGCAATTGAAGGTAGCCCATGTTAATATGCTATGACAATAGGACTTCCGTGACCATTGGTGCAGTGCTCGAAACGTCGGGAATATAGAATAAGTTAATATACGCGATAAAATAAGTAAAATTTGTTTCATTTATATGGGCCTGAAGAATTTGCGTTAATCGTTACGCTCGACAGGCGACTTAACAATCACCATCGTACCGTCTTCAGTATCTTGAAATAATATGTATGTTTATATCTCGCAACCAACTAGATTAATTAGCCCTTCAGTTAACAGCCTAGCCGTTTCAGCCGATGCATCTAATACATTTCATGTCTTATGCACTATGTGCTATATTATATTTTTTTTATAGGATAAGGGTGACAAACGAGCACACAGTCCACCTGATGGTAAGTGGTTGCTGCGGCCCATAGACATCTACATCTATTCTCTGTTACAAATCAAAATGTAGATGCGTTGTCACCCGTGAGGACTAAGATGGAATGCCTCATTTCCAGTAAAAAGGGCCTCCGGCCACCTGCACTCACCAAGCGAAACGCAGAGGTAAACCTCTACTTCACGCTGGTTTTCTGTGAGGTCGTGGTACCACCCCGGTTCGAGCCGGCCCATCCGTGCGACAACAAAAGCTGCCGCGTGGCTCTACCACTGTTAAAAAAATATAAATATACACAGCTTTATGGTAGCCCGAGCGCCCCCCTGCCGCACCTTAACCTACTGTCACTGATATTACAAGGTATGTGCAATGCTGTATTAGACGCATTGACTGAATATCATACATGCGGCTAGTTGAACGGCGCTCTTCACTAAAATGCCTGGGTAGTTAACTGAATGGCTAATTAAGCTAGTTGGCTGCGACATGTATACTAGATCAGTAGGACGCAGAAGGAGCACAAAGTACTTTTTTTATGGCAAACACTATGAACGTTTTAGCCCGTGGGCCTTTATGCCTTTATGGTAAATATTAAACAAGTGAGGTGAGTCATCACCCATCTTCATTACAAGTCCACTGCTGAACATAGGCCTTCCCTTAACGAATACCACCAAGCACGTTCCTGAGCCTACAGCATCCATCGACTTCCTGTATATCTTACCAGGTCGTCACACCGTGTAGTGAAGTATATCTATGAATGCTTACCAAGTATTTTATACTTGAAATCAAATGTTAATATATTTTATCAATCGTAAAAAAAAACAAATAAAGATTACAATTTTAAGTGCAGATTTAGGAAATCACCGTGAGGAAAACTGTACGAGTGGAAAATTAAATAAAAAAAATGTATGCACATTTTTCACACGCGATAGAATAGAAGTGAAACTCTCGGAAAACTAAACTTCGAGAGAATGAGACAAATTCAGAGTGTCAGGAGTACGATGATTGTAGGGTTTATACATAACATAAACACTCACGCTTGTCACCCAGAGGGGTAGGCATAGACTACGGAGTTCCATTTGGCGCGATCCTGACACACCTCTCTCGCCTCTTTTACATCCATATATCTACGCATACACTCTCATCGGTTAAGGGTACTCCTAATCTGGCCCATTTTAATGTATCGCCGATTTGGTCGATAAACCTTCGTCTAGGGCGTCCCTTCCCGACCTTGCCGTAGGGTTTATGTAATTAAAATATAAATAAATTTATATATTGCACACGGTATACTGTATTCTATCTCATTCTCTCGCAGCCTAAATCCTATAGATGTATACATTTCTCTCTTTTTAGTGTCGCTTTTTCGTTTTATAGCGTTTCAAATCACAACGATTCTGAAGAAGTTTTCGTTACAAAACGAAGATACTTGTGGAGTTTTGTTGTTCGGCTAGAGGAACTTCATTTCAAAATGGTAATAGTACATTCGAACAAAAAAAATGACGTGTGAAAATCTAAATTTTGATTTCTTACGTGAAATAAATATAATATTTTATTTTATAACAATATAACTGTGAAGGCGTGGCGCAGTGGCGTAGCAATAAGTTACAGCGCTGGCGGCCGCGTGTTCGAATCCCGCACGGAACAAGTATGACCTACAAATAATTTTTACTGGTCTGGATGTTTGTCCTTGTGAAATTAATGTATGTAAAACTGCTTCCACGATTCTTCGTGTGTGTAACATTTAAAAAAAATAAAGAAAATGCTCTGTTTAAAGTAATATCAGCATGTATACTTACTGCTCTCAGGTAGTTCCACTTTCACAGCGGAACTTTTAGACATCCGACTGAGGCTCCCAATACCCGTGGACTGTCTCCGCCTGTTCCTCTGTATTCTTTGCATCACTGGTTTGCCACTGCGATATAAAAACAATTTTTACATTACCTCTATAAGAATAGAAAAACAAATCATATTAAACTAATGTTTCGCCCCGGCTTAGCACTGGTGATTTCTGGATCTGTTGTCGAGATCGCATCACCTACCGGTTCCAATTGTAAGTCAAACTCAAATATGTTCGAACACACAAAAAATTTCACCAAAACTAAACACAAGAATTATATGTGTGACTTAACAAAGTTAGTTTACACTTATCTTGTTGTTTTATGCCTTTAGTTAATAAATACTCGAAATTTTGCAGTAAGACAACGTAAATAAAACAAAAGAGGAAAATAACGTTGCTTTTCGATTTTCAGACGTCAACAAAACTGCCGAGATCCCCGTGCACAATCGATTCAAATAAATTCCTGGCTACTTTACATTTATATAGCAGTCGATACGTTGCTCTGACATTGAGACGTCTAAGAGTTCCACGAGCATCTTAGGTACATTTCAAATTACAATAGAAAGATAATAATTCACTTCTAGTTATCACATTGAAAATCTTCTAACTAAAATAGAGTACATTGAACGCGTTCGCCGATAGACACTTGAATAGATTAGTCAAGACTTAATATTAATTATACAAATATAAACCGTACGAGGGTGACACTGAAAGTTCTTAGAAAATCAAAAACTGAACAAACTAGCGAGTTATTACTTTTATTATATCTTTTAGAAATAGTGTTCATTTACGTCTATACATCGCTGCATCCGATGGAACCACTGAGAAAAGCACTTTGCCCGCTCGTCCTTAGGGGTCTCTTCGACGGCATTTTGAAACGCAGCCACTGCTTCCTCGGCGTCCATAAAACGTTTTCCTCAGTATTTTTTAAATTTTGGGAAATAAATAAAAATCACAAGGTGTGAGGTCGGGGCTATAGGGCGGGTGACCCAGTAATTCCACGTCTGACGTCTCCAAGTAGTCGATTGTTTGTTGGCGGTGTGCGATTAGGCGTTGTCGTGGTGAAGGAAGATCCGCGAGATCGGAGCTACGAGGTCGTTTGCCTCGAACTTTTTCCAAGACAATTGGCAAACTATTGTTAGTATACCACACTGCAGTAACTGTTTTTCGATCCTCTAAAACAAATTGTAGCGTAATGACCTGTCATTTCGAAGAACGAGGCCACCATCCATTTTTACCCACGCTTCGATCTCTACTCACTTTAGGTGGCGACTCCTCGGAAGGAAATACCCAAACAGCAGACTGTCTCTTAGTTTCAGGATCATAACAATAAATCCAGCTTTCGTCACTCGTAATTATGTCGAACACAGCATTTGAGTCACCTCCGTTAAATATTTGAACCATTTTACGACACCAATCAACAACGACGGAGTTTTTGGGCCTCTGTCAAATTATGAGGTATCCACCGGGCACAAAGCTTCCTGACCGCTAAATGTTCATGGAGGATTTTGTGCACTTGACTTATACTTGCGTAAGATTGTCCGAATCTGCTGATAATTCACTCTTTTGTCAGTCTCTATCATACGCCGCACAACACTGATGTTATCTTCAGTCGTCGCAGTAGAAGGCCGTCCTTCACGCAGATTAGTACGACCACGTTTAATTATCATTAAACCATTTGTAAACAGTGGCACAATATGGGGCTTCATTGTGAAAGGCCATTCGAAGTCTATATAATAACTTTTGACATCAAGTCATAAAAAATCATGGTACGAAAATTTTCTTGCGTTAAATTCATGCTGATGTGACAGAGACAATTTTCAATTTGCCGCCAAATCGTAAACAAATGACAAATTAATAAAATACATACACAATAATATTGGCAATGAGTTCCATTTTCAAAATTTGAACTTATTTTTTTATTTTATCGTTTACAAGTGGGCAGTTCTAAAAACTTTCAGTGTCGCCCTCGTATTAGCCCAAAGTTTATGCGCTCGCTGTAAATTTCACGGTGCGCAAACACCCAGGGTTTGATTGAAATCGGCACATATCTTTACGTAGTAGAGCCACTACTTAGAGGCCCTTCCCCGGTCAAGTCAACCCATTCGTGCTGCAACCATAATGGCTGCAGCGCGGCTCTACCACGTTCATGTCTTGTGGCATCCCCTTGGGGGTTATGTTCAACAGTGGACTTGTGAGGGTCAGTAATTATGAGGATGATTATATACCTTGTTTTATTTCAATAGCTAGTAAGAGTCTACTGCTTTACTTGGACTCCATTGTAAGGAGTATTTTCCTTAACGTCGCACTTGGCAGACGGTTTGAAGCTCGTAATACCAGCCCCCCTTGATATTGTTGCCCATCCATTGCAGCTTATAAAGTCTGCTGAACATAGGCCAGATTTCCTCTTAGGTGGGATTTTGCCATAGTTGCCACGTTTGACGGCAGGGTACACGGCTGATTGCTGACACTGCTTTGGTCTTAATATATATAGCGCCATCTGTAGGAGACCATGAGAAATTTAGATTCTTCTACAGTCGCCTCTTACGACAGCCGCCGGACGAAATGCCTTAATTAATTCCCTTATGCGATGAATTATTTCTTATATTTACGCGAATAGAAGCACATTAAATGATTTTTTTTAATAGGATAGAGTAAAAACGAGCACACGATCCACCTGATGGTAAGTGGTTGCTGTAACCCATAGACATCTACATTTATCCTCAACAAAGAATCAAAATGCAGATGCGTCGTCACCAGTGAGGACTAGGATAGAATGCCTCTTTTTCAGCAAATTGAGTATCCGGTTCTCTACACTCACCATACGAAACACAGCAGTGTCAAGCTGCTATTCTGTATGAGCGTGGTCCTACCCCGGTCGAGCCGACCCATTCGTGCTACAACTATACTTCTAATACAGCTGCAGCATGGCTCTACCACGTATACCACGCATGAATGATTTTATCGCGTTTAATTTTAACTATTTAATAAAATTAATTTAATGAATTCCCTTTTACGGATTAGTAAGCTGAAGTGACTATGGGTCGGCCATTATAGCTCAAAGAACCGACAACCAATAGGGAAGACAGATTCTTGAGTACCTAACGACCTGGTAAGAGAAGCAAGAAGTCGATGGACGCAGGTGGTTTAGGACCGTGCTTTGTGGCATTCCTTGGGAGATGCCTATGTCCAGCAGTGGACTTATAAATTGATAATGATGATGATAAATGAATTCCCTTATTCATGGATCATATTACTCCTTTAATTTTTCATTAAACTATATTTTCTTCCTATTTCTGTGTCTCCACTCACCTGCTTGAAGTGACCGTGTACAGTGCATCCTGTCTGGGCTCACTCTTGACCTCCTTCTTGACATAGGACCGCTTGTTCTCAATCATGGTGAACTTGTCACAGCCTAACTTGCTGTCCAGTATCGAAGCTCCCAAATCCGTCGGGATGAAGTTAGTTACATCTGGAGATCACTTCGCAATCAGTACATTAATTATGTCGGCAGTTCGAAAAGAGACCGTATTTCGTTGGTATAAAATTGAAAATCGAATGATTTTTTTACACACATCATCCATGTTTGTTTACTCCAACGTGAGATTTTATGTAAACACAGTAAACAATGTTTCTTATACACGTTTGATTCGACTACTACTTACTATAACAATGTCTGAGAAATACTAAAAAAATTACTATATAATGTGAGAACATAAATTATAATTATAATATATTAATTTCATTACCCATCATGGCCTATCAAAGTCTACCGCTGGGCATAGGCTTCCCCATAGACTTTCTCATTAAGGGCATAGTTCCCACGCATGGCAGGCAGGTTGGCAACCATAGTTTTTATTTTCTAGAGGTATTTGGAAGATGCTGCTGCTTCCTACCCCCTCCTGGTTTATTTCCCTCTGCCGCCTCTTACAACATTCACGGGATGATGTGGGGTATACTTACACCGCGACCAATGAATAAATGAAATAATATACTACACTATAATATTAATTTATATATATCTATACATATAAATAAAATTGAAGTGGCTGTCTGTAGTAACAAATTTTTTTTATCATGTTTGGTTCTGGATGGCTCCTAAGTGAAATACCGAACAGAAACTTCACAATTTTTGTTCGTCTTAAAAAAACTACAGGCTTCAAAAAATAATTTTCATCATTTCACTAAAAAGGTTTTCTAGGAAATTTAATGCCCTTCGATTTGACACAATCAAAAAGCCTGTACGATGCCACGGGGTTATCGACAGTCAAAGCAAAAAAGTTCTTGTTGACTTTGATAATTAATAACTCAGGAAATAATGATCGTATAGGAAATTGAAGGAAGGTTTTGAAAACTGCATGTCATTCTCCTCATGAGGTACTATGAATTTTTTTATAGAATAAGGGTGACAAACGAGCACTAAGTCCACCTGATGGTAAGTGGTTGCTGTGGCCGATAGACATCTACATCTATCTTCGTTTGCGAATTAAAATGCAGATGCCTTGTCAGCCGTGAGGACTAAGATAGAATGCCTCTTTTCCAGTAAAAAGGGTCTTCGGCTCTCTACACTCACCAAACGAAACACAGCAGTATTAAGCTACTATTTTACGTTGATATTCTGTTAGAGTGTGGTCCTTCCCCGGTCTAGCCGACCCATTCGTGCTACAACTATACTATTAATATAACTGCAGCATGGCTCTACTACGTTTAAAAAGAATTACTTTCGACGAAAACTTTGACTGAAAAAAAGATAAACATTCGCATATTTAAGGATATTTGGATAACTTGGTATAACTTTGGATACAATGTATAATATATATATAAAAGTATACTTTTATATATATATATATATATATATATATATATATATATATATATAAAAGTTACCGACGATATCCTTCGTTATCGTCGGTAACTTTTCAACCTTAAAATGTCCCGGAAAATCCCTGAGTAATTCAAAGCGCTGCGATTTATTTTGCTTAGTGCCCCGAAGCTTCAAATTTATCGTTTTCGCAAAAAATCACCAATATGAGCAATTTTTCGATTCTTATAAATTTTTCCAATAAAATTGTTTTCCTCGATAACCTTTATTTCTTCGATCAAAAAGATTGATTTTTCAAAATTTTCTTTTCTTTTAACATCTATAGAATGCTTCATTGTTGTCAAAAAAAAATTACTTGAATTTTTTTTCACCGCTGCAACTGGCTTAGATTTAATTGTCAATTTAAAAATTTCACTTTCTACTTTCAGCTCATCGTTCCCTCTAGTGCCTAGTTTTTCATTGAAGTCCCATTAACACCGTATAGTGGGTTTTGGAGGAATGCATGGTTCTAGATATATCCTCATACATTTCCTCCACCTCCTCATCGGGATGTGCCGAGGTTGGTGCGTAAACATGTATGACCTTCAGCGAATACCGTTTGGTGATTCTGAGTATAAGATACGCAACCCCCGTCGACACACTTGTTGTTAACGAGAGACTTGTGGACGATAAATCCGACACCTCCTTGGGACAGATGGTCGCTCTCCCGGTGACAGAGCCAGTTGCCGAGATTGAGGATTACTGTGTCCTCCCCCTCTCTTCGGACCTCGGATAATCCTATAATAACTTCTCTTACTTTTCTTCCAGCTCCACAATTTTCTCGTCAGTCCTCAGGGTGCGTGCGTTGTATGTTGCCAGGTCGAGTCGTCGTAGGTGGCAACCGAACCTCCACCGGAGATTCTTAGCACCCCCTGCCCCGCCGTTACCATGGTCGCCACCGTAGCCAGGAATAGCGGGGCCGCTGGGGACTGGGGGCCGTCTCTTTGTTGCTCTCATCATTGGGGGTATTTGCCATAGTAGCCACGCTTGGCGAGCGGGTTGGCAACCGCAGTTTTTTTATTGTAATTTTGCTGTTATCAGGAAGATGCTGCTGCCCATCTCCTGCCTGTTTCCCTTTCTCGCCTTTTACGACATCCGCGGGAAGATATGGGGTAGTGGATATTCTTAACCGCCACTACACGGCACAACTTACATGGATATTTATATTTAGCGGAGTGAATTTAAAAAGAAAGTAAACAGACAATAATATTTAGTCTAAGCCGCAGCGCCCACTTAAGCTACATGATTTCGACATGGCTTGTATAGCATGATTCTGACGATGCTCTGACGTGACCACGGGGGACACTGCTTGCACCAACCTGTGCAACCATAGCATGTCGCAGAATAACCAAAATGTCGTCTGAAGAGGATAAATATGTCCTTGCTTTGCTACAGATTTCAAACATTCAAAGTGCCAGCAGAAACTACTTTAAATTTAATGAAGGAATTGGTATTATATTTTGCACAGATTTGCACAACAAGTTGCAAGAAGCATCACGCGAGTTCCTGTTACTGTTATCGGGTCTAGTACCATTATATAAACATGGCCTTTCATGTACTAACTCAATGAATTTAATATTAAAAGCTAGGTTGCCTTTTATTTTGCATACACAAGTCACTTGCAAGTTTCCTGTTACACGGCGTCACGCCACTCGAATGGGCGCTACTACATACTTATACAATCGCTTTGAATGTTGAGGCGGGAGACAAGTTACGCGTCAAATCACGCTGATCACGCGTTAAGTTACTTAGGAGAGCGCCGCGCTTAAGATCCTATTGACACCAGATGTCACTTATTTTCTGGCGAACGTAATGTGTAAGATTGAGTAGTGTTCGTATTTACTATGATGTATTATGATAGATTTCAACCGATATGTTATTGAAATATATAGATACAATATCCGATATTCAAATCCAATACATAGGTACGATTGGATGAAATTACCTATGCCTACTACATGCTGCATACTTGCATACACTTAGCTTCGACAAAAGTAAACTGTAAGAGAGAGAGAGAGAGAGAGAGAGAGAGCGAGAGAGAGAGAGAGGGAGAGAGAGGTCAATACAATACTCATACATATTTCATTCATGCTCATGCGTTCGTATTATGCCCTCGCGCACATATACCCACAGAGGAATTAAAATGGGGTCTAGGGAATGACTGAAACCTTGGATCGGTCTGCGTTCTTGTAAAACGTTTTAAAATGGTTGTCTGGCTAACACATATATAATTAAAAATTAAAAAATTTGTACAGCCGACTTCAATATAAGTTATTAAGAATAACTCAAAAACTATTGGCCTGACCTTGATCATATAGGCTCACACGAGAAGTACTAGCTTTCAAATAAAAAAAGAATCATCGAAATCGGTCCACCCAGTAAAGTTATGAGGTAACACACATAAAAAAAAAACAAAAAAAAATACAGTCGAATTGAGTACCGTAGCCTTTTTGGAGGTCGGCAGAAAAATAGACCTTCAGAATGTAAGTGAAATTGAGTAATTTTTGAGAGCTTTAAAGCGTATGTAATGCCATATTGCTGACGGAAAGTGTCTGAGGGTATGGTGAAAGTTTTTTAACGATATTATCTGACATATACGTAAAAATCCGCTGGAAGAATTAACGTGGGTTGAGTAATATTTTTACGTATCTTGATTACCTGATACCTGTAAAATGGCCCTCTGGCCATGCTAGCAGGTAAGCATGCGATCGTAGTACATATGTACTACCTAACACTACTCCCAATTTTACACATTTCGTTCGTCCCTGGGATCTTGCTCTAATTTATTTATTTATTCATCAAAGAACCAGACAACAATTTTTATTTGAATATTTTATAATAAACGCACGTAATTTCTTCTACGAAATTTAAGTACCTGTTAAACGCGAGTATCAGCAATTATAACAAATGAACTCTATATCTATAATAACTCTGGACTCGGGAGTAAGACGATCATCAGTCAACTATTTCCATCGCATCAAGACATTTCACTACAATGAAATTTTCTCAAAAATAAAACTGAATTATCTTATAAAATTATATAATACTAGCTGTGCCCCGCGACTTCGCCCGCGTGGAGTTTACTACGATTTCATGGATATCAATTTTTTTGCGCGGAACCCTAATTTTGTTTTTGAGTATTGTTACCATGTTATAAATATTGACATTAATATTTATACGATACTAACGTCACTCAATTGTTTTGTCTTCCCGGAACCCCTCTACTAACACTTAAACTTTATGGTATGGTATTAAAGTTCAAATTGACTTTTAAGTATTATTACGAATCTTTTGTATGGGAATATAGAAAAGTGTTGTTTTTAGACTTTTTCAGGCAATTTTTTAAATTTTTCTCTCCGTAAGAACCATCTTCGTACTTCAAGAAATATTATAAAAAAGAATTAGCAAAATCGGTTCAGCTGCTCTCGAGATTTGCGCTTATCAACATATTTAGCGATTCATTTTTATATTATAGATTGGACTAAATTAAACAAATAATCAATTAAAATTAAATATCATTATTACCTGTCTCCGAAGACCTGGGTATTTCAAAGGTATCCTGCGCGAAAAGTTTCTGTTTGCTCAGATCACCGTCGAAAAGATAAGAATTAGTCCTGTTGTCAGGCAGTAGTAACTCCGTGAAACTGTTCAGCATAATCTGCAAGAAATTAATAAATTCATCATCATTATGTTATCATCAATTTAGCTATTCACAAGTCCACTGAACATAGGCCTCCCCCAAGTATAGTATGTATATAGTATAGGCATTGATATCTGCACCGTCTTCCATTTACAATAAAATGCAGATAGATGAGTTATTATCCCTAAGGACTAAGATGGAATGCCTCATTACCAGTAAAAAGTGACTCCGGTTCTCTACACTCACCATACGAAACAGTAGTAAACCACTAGCATCCATCTTCCTGCATGTCATACCAGGTCGTCACTTCATCCAGTGAGGTAGACCTATACTCCGCTTGCCGGTACGAAGATTCCCTTCTAGAACCTTACTGATTCGTTGGGCTGTATCTGTTACTATATTTATACTGCGGATATTATAATTACGGATTCTATCATGTGGTTTGTTTAAAAGTCTAAGGGCTCTCCGGAAACGGAGCTCAATAGTCAGTAGATATCTGATTGATCATTGATATTTCTTAAAATTATACACTGCTCGTTAGAAACATTTTTTTATATACATACTTTTTATAATCAATGCTCTTTCGGGCCCGATATGAACCAGTGACTCACCTAAATAGCGATTAAGCGATTTAGTGATATATCAATTCGGAGATCGAATTTAGTTTATTGACTTATTTTCGTAGAAGTAAAAGTAATTTATAGCTTATTTACGACCCACTGCAAGGTAAAAGTTAATCCAGAAATGTTTTATGGCAAGAAAAAGTCCTTCTTGCTACCCCAAAATGGTGGTGCTCTTTTCGCATGACAAAGACATCTAAGCTTTTTCTCTTATTTCTCGGACTTGGTCTCTATAGGTTTAGTTACTCTAGTTCCATCCGAAAGTGGTAAATCAATGCCAGTAGAGATTGATATCGGCCTATAAAGTTTGAGCACACGGCTTATTTTTGTAAACTTCAAAAATTTTAATTTGACGGGAAGCGCCAAATTCAAAAGAACTGATGGTATCGCGAAGGATCACCGTATGGCAACTCCGTAAAGAGTGACGTTCATAGTAGTTCCGCCCTAGTTTTAAGTGAGAGGCCCGAAAGAAATCCATCGTATTCTTTTGCTAAGCTTTGCAAGCTTTTGCAAGTCAACAGCTGGGCAATGACAGCTTACAAGTCAACGAGCGGGGCTCTGTGGCGTCTGACAATGACAGTTTCGATTTAGTATCCCCAAATCCATACTTCAATTTGGTGGGTACAATGTCAGAGTAAACGTAAGAAGAGGACAGCCACAACAATTTGCATATAAGCTCTCAATAAATGACTTCATAAAAGATCAAACTACTCTTGTGCAAGTATCCACAAAATCTTGTGATAAATGGGGTATTATCGACTTTACAGCATCACCTCACTCTTCTTCTTTTATACGTACAACCTGATAAAACATGCAGGAGGTCGATGGATACAGGTGACTCAAGAAGGTGCTACGCAGCAATCCTGGGGAAAGCCTATGTTCCGCAGTTGACTTATTGGGGCTGGTGATGTTCTTCTTGGCCTAGTAAGACACGCAGTAAGTCGATGGACAGTTTCCAGTGCTTTGTATCATTCCTTCGACCACCAACGAATGATACAAAATAATTCAGCTATAATCTTGTGAAGGGCTGTTATGACGATGATGATCTTTATTTAAATTCCGTTCTGCTTTTATGCTGAGCATAAAGTCCACCTGCTGTGACTCATAGACATCTACATCTACCCTCGATTAAGAATCAAAATGCAGATGACTCGTTTCCAATAAAAAAGGTCTCCGGTTCTCTATACTCATCATACGTAACACCAGCATTAAGCTGCTATTTTATGTTTGGTATTCTGTGAGAACGTGGTCCTTCCCCAGTCGAGGACCCATTCGTGCTACAACCATTATATAGTTGCAGCAAGGCTACCAAGTAATCTGTATTTCGTTTTTGATTTCTTTGTTTATGCTTTTTGCCTGATAAAAACCACATCTCAGTCTACATTTTCATAAACTTTAGCTCTGGCTGGGAAACGTACTCAGGACGTAGTAGGGAAGTACGAACATTAATCTAGTATTAGATATAGCAGTTATAGCATTTACCTGTGATGCGCCATCAGCTTCGCCGCTAACGACAGTTGACGTGACAGTTGAGGTTGGGCCGTATGCGGGCACCACGGGTGTATTGACTGTATGCCGTAGGTTGCTTGGTAGTTTCTTCTCGTTTAATCTAGACTTAAGCTGAAATCGACAAGTTCGTGTCAGTACTAAAAATTAATGTTCTTGCGTTGTGGGATCCAAAATTTTACAGTTAATCAACATTGTTGATTTCAACTTCTTATCCTTTATTAGCCAAAGAAATTCACTCCTGAGTATTGGCCTCGCCTGTTGCAAATATTAATTTTAACAGTGGTAGAGTCACGCGGCAGCTTTTGCTGTCGCACGGATGGGCCGGCTCGAACCGGGGTGGTACCACGACCTCACAGAATACCAGCGTGAAGTAGAGGTTTACCTCTGCGTTTCGCTTGGTGAGTGCAGGTGGCCGGAGGCCACTTTTACTGGAAATGAGGCATTCCATCTTAGTCCTAACGGGTGACAACGCATCTGCATTTTGATTCGCAAACGAGGATAGATGTGGATGTCTATGGGCCGCAGTAACCACTTACCATCAGGTGGACTGTGTGCTCGTTTGTCACCCTTATCGTATAAAAAAAATAGGATTTGATCTTATGCTTGACAGGCAGGATTGGTGATTGCAGTACCGGACCTTATGATGCCTGTCAACGGCCTGGGTATTTCATTTCTACTGCTGAACATAGGCCTCATCTTTTCTTTGTTTGTTTCCCTCTGTCGCTTCTTACGACACCCAAGGGACGGTAATGGATATTCTTACCCCATGGATATTCTCACACCATGACTGTGTGATGAAGGCCTAGATGACAAATCGCAATGTCTTAGCGTTACAAAAGCCTATCACTCTTGCCTTGAAAAAGCCCAGATTGTTAGCGAAACACGATTGCACTGGATAAAGTGTAAATGTTCGATAAAATAAAGATTTATGTGTTACGTTAATTGCGGGCTTCTAAGCAATGAACAAAAATTATATAACTTTCTGTGTGGTGGTGTTGTAGAGCACCCATCACCCCCAGTTAGTCTCGTGGGTGTCGTAAGAGGACACTATGGAGAATACTTTCGATAGAAGGTGACATGATGGAAAATGCAAGAAAAATCTCTGTCGTTCGGTCCATCCATCCATCCATTACAGCCTATAAAAGTCCAATGATGAACACAGGCTTCTCCCGTAGATTGCCTCATAGGTTTTGTCATAATTGACACGCTTTTTGAATTGTTATCGGGACGATGCTGCTTCTCATCTCCTGATCCAGTTTCCCCCTGTTGCCTCTTACGAAACCCACGGGATGATATGGGGTAGTGGATATTCTTACACCGCCACTACACGGCGTGTCTTTCGATAGAAAGTATTAAAATATAATAGAAGACGTAAAACTCATCTAACATCGTCAACCCACCTGCCAAGTGTGACAAATAAAGAAAATCCTGTCTACAATGGGAGAGGCCGTTATCGAGCAAGAGTCGTATTCATTAAATTATATGCTGTTTTCATAGTTTTTTTTTTAAATATCTAGGCACATGACTATGCAAAGTTCATTCAAATCACGCAATAGTGTAAGCTGAGTACGGTCCGTTAGTCCAACGTGCGATACGACGTATATAGATATAATTCTTAAATACAGTGACCGAGTGAAGCCGGCCACAGTCGAGCGTGTGCCTGCTGTACTACCATATGTCAGAGGTGTCACAGACAAGATTGGCTACATCTTGAAGCGAGCTTCTATTAGAACATTCTTTAAGCCGCCGAAGAAGATTAGTTAGTTCTTACCGTCAAGTGCAATATTCCTCTACAAGATGCAGGAGTATACAAGCTTGATTGTGAGTGTGGTCTCTCATATATAGGGCAAACAGAACGATCAATAAAAACCCGCGTAAAAGAACACATAGCTGACGTGAAGCACCAACGTTCCGGGAAGTCTGCAGTTTGTGATCATATCCTAGACGGCCCCCGCCATTACATTAGATTTGATAAACCACAAGTCCTCGCGAAAGAACATCGATTCCTGCCAAGGATGATACGTGAGGCTATTGAAATTAAAAAACATCCTAATTTCAATAGAGAGGGAGGCTGGGTACTACCACCTGTTTGGGATCCTGTAATTCATAAAATTAAAACTAAACCCAAGCATACCACTGCAAGACTTCAAGACACAGTTCATTCTGCGTAGATCGGACCAAAATTAATAATTAAAAAGCTGAAGGTACTCCGGGTTAACTTTGACATCGGGACGTCAATCACCTCAGTCCCCCGTGACCACCGTGACGTGAAACGTCGGGAATATAAAATAAGTTAATTAAACGCGATAAAATCCGTAAAAATAGTTTTATTCAATATGTAGTGTTCGCGTAAATATAAGAAATCATTATTAAAATTAAAAATTTTGTACAGCCGACTTCAATATAAATTATTAAGAATAACTCAAATAACTCAAAAACTATAGGTCTAACCTTGATCAAATTCATATGGGACCACACGAGAAGTATAAGCTTTCATATAAAAAAAGAATCATCGAAATCGGTTCACCCAGTAAAAAGGTCATGAGGTAACACATAAAAAAAAACATACGCGCCGAATTGAGTACCGTCTCCTTTTTGGAAGTCGGCAGAAAATAAGATTTATAACTAGCGACTTTTCTAGTGCCTCTACTGTCTTCGCCTGGGTAGGATGTGTTAATGTGGCGTTATTTAGACTTGAGATAATCATTAAAAACCATTTATTTTATCTAAGAAACTATTATAATAAAATCTCTAAATTATATTTCGGATAAAATTTAGTGGTATTACTCAATTTGTTCGTGAAGTTTCATTACATTCGGTTCAGCTATTCCGAAGATTAGCTCGCACCGACAGACAAACGAAAATTATAAAAATATTTACTCATGTCTCAATGGCATGTAAATATTTTATAAAAAAAAATATTAACAAACAAAATGAACTATAATTATGAAGAAAACTCTCAGAACGGGTCATAGCTCGCAAATAAACGAAATCAGACTGATTTTTTTCTGGTAAATGGCATTTAGTTATCATTGATTCCAATAACAAGTTGGACTGAAGTTACAGAACGTACGAAAAACGCATATCGCAACGTATTTTTTTGCAGTCTTTATCGGTGGGTGTAAGTGTAGTTAGCGACAGTGTGCGAGGGAAAGGTAAATAAAGGTGACGCCATTTTCAATCCCATTCTTTATCCGCACGGGTAGTACTCTTATTAGTAGCAGGGGTGTCAAACTATACTTTCTACAGAGCCATTTAAATAATTAATTGTACGAATAGGTATTCGAGTTAGTAGCAAGGGTGCCAAACTCGATTTTCTATATGGCCATTTAAATAATTAAATATACGAATAGGTATTCGAGTTTGTAGCAGGTGTGTCAAACTCGATATTACTACGATACTATATGGCCATTTTGAAAGTTAAAGGTACACAAACTTAAAAGAAATAAGTTAATAAACTCAGGCGTCACTATGTTTATTTGCAAAGATTCCGTGGATTGTTCAGCCAACTTATTGTGGAAGTGTATGCTAAAATTGAAACGAAACGTGTAGTATACACTCGCACTAATCAACGACGATTACGCTTTGAAGAATATGTGCATTTTCAGGATGCAATACAATCAGACAATAACGTCGAGAATTTGGGGCGATTGATCATCTTGCCATCCAGTTTCACAGGCGGTCCGCGGTACATGCACGAACAAACCCAAGATGCTTTTGCTACGTCCGGAAATACGGCCGGCCGGACCTATTCATTACGTTTACCATAACTCCAAAGTGGACCGAAATCAGTCAACAATTTCTTACAGGACAGGCGTCTTATGATAGGCATGATATAATTGCCAAAGTTCATTTAAAACTCAAAGTAATAATAAATCTTCTTACGAAAGAGAAAATTTTCGGTCAAGCTCTTTGTTTCATGTACAGCGTCCAGTGGCAAAAGCGTGGTTTGCTTCACGCCCACATTCTCCTGTGGTTGTAAGATAAAATTCGTCCTGACGCTGTTGACAGTGTCATAAGTGCTGAATTTCCAGAACAAAATAAAGATCCAATTTTGCATGACATAATTAGGACACACGTGGTTCACGGGCCATGTGGAGTTTTAAATTGGGAATCCCCAAGAATGCATGATGGTTAGAGCTCAAAAAGATACACCAAAGCATTCTTAGAAGAAACCGTATCGGGGGAAAATGGGTATCCATTGTATCGGCGAAGATCACCATCGCGAAGTTGTTTCACAACTACTAGCAGGTTCCGTGGACAAGAAATAGCATTGGAAAATAGATGGGTGGTACCGCATTCACAAGTTTTATCAAAAACATTTCAGGCACACATAGATGTCGAAATGTGCAAAAGTGTAGAGTCTATAAAATATATTTGCACATATGTCAATAAAGGCGGTGATTAAGCTATGATCGCGCTGAGAAATCGATGAAGTCACAAGGTATCAATCTGGCCGCCTAAGATTCCCAATACATGAACGACATCCAACAGTAATCCATCTCGATGTGTACCTTGAAGGCGGGCAACAAGTATATTATCAGGCTGAAAATGTAACAGAAAGGTTAGACAACCCGAGGCAAACCTTGCTGGCATTTTTTCGCCTTTGCGAAATAGGCAATTTCGCGAAATCAATTTTATATAATGAGGTTCCATCTTATTACACATATAACAAGCAGCAAGGTGTTTGGAATCGTAGAAGACGTGGAAAAGTTGTGGAAGGCGAGACTGGCGTTTTTAAAGAACTCGTGATTGTACACGGTGCACCCGAATAATTCAGTGTTACTATTTACGCCTTCTTCTCCATGTAATGCGAGGATCTACTTCTTTTGTTGAGCTCCGTAAAGTGGATGATATTAAACATCCCATATACAAGGTCGCTTGCCGCGCACGCCATTTATTAGATGGAGATCAGCATTGGGATGACGCTTTAGCTGAAGCATGCGTCAGCGATAGTCCCCATCGCTTGCGACATTTGTTTGCCATCCTATTGACCTTTTGTGGATTAACGGATACTAAACAATTGTGGCAAAAGTACCATGACAAGTTTGCTGAAGATTTTTTGAGACATGTTTGAGAAATTCCTTATTGGCTATTAAAGAGATAGTTAT